GGTTGGAATAGAAAATATTCTGCTAGCTAGCCCCTGATACTAGGGTTTTTAAAATTAGAAATATTTTTTGCTAGCTAGACGTGGTACTTGGTTGAGTTAGTAATATTCTGCTAGTGACGTATATTGGTTGAGATTAGTAATATTCTGCTAGCTAGACGTAAATATATGGTTGAGATTAGTAATATTCTGCTAGCTAGACGTGGTACTATGGTTGAGATTATAATATTCTGCTAGTAGACGTGATACTATGGTTGAGATTAGTAATATTTTCCCTAGCTAGACGTGATATATGGTTGAGATTAGTAATATCTACTAGCTAGACGTGATACTATGGTTGAGATTAGTAATATTCTGCTAGCTAGACGTGATACTATGGTTGAGATTAGTAATATTCTGCTAGTGACGTGGTTACTATGGTTGAGATTAGTAATATTCTGCTACCCTAGACGTGGTACTATGGTTGAGATTAGTAATATCTGCTAGCTAGAGTGATACTGGTTGAGATTAGTAATATTTTGCTAGCTAGACGTGATACTATGTTGAGATTAGTAATATCTGCTAGCTAGACGTGATACTATGGTTGAGATTAGTAATATTTTGCTAGCTAGACGTGATTCTATGGTTGAGATTAGTAATATTCTGCTAGCTAGACGTGATACTATGGTTGAGATTAGTAATATTCTGCTAGCAAGTCGTGGGTAATCAGTCCCTGGGTCTGGAGTCCATATAATCAACCTATCAATAACTTTGTACTTAAAGTTAATAATACCTCGTGTATATAACATCACAGTGATGTTTCTCATATACGTTGTCAACCATAGGTCTAAGGATATTTGTAAGCTATGGGCTAGCTAGCCTCTCAATAGTGATGCTGAGGTGATCTTGAGGTGATGCTGAGGTGATCTTGAGGTGATGAGGTGATGCTGAGGTGATCTTGAGGTGATGAGGTGATGCTGAGGTGATCTTGAGGTGATGAGGTGATGCTGATGTGATCTTGAGGTGATGCTGAGGTGATCTTGAAGTGATGAGTTGATGCTGAGGTGATCTTGAGGTGATGAGGTGATGCTGAGGTGATCTTGGTGATGAGGTGATGCTGAGGTGATCTTGAGGTGATGAGGTGATAAAGGTGATGATGAGGTGATGCTGAGGTGATCTTGAGGTGATGCTGAGGTGATCTTGAGGTGATGAGGTGATGCTGAGGTGATCTTGAGGTCATTGGGTGATGCTGAGGTGATCTTGAGGTGATGAGGTGATGCTGAGGTGATCTTGAGGTGATGCTGAGGTGATCTTGAGGTGATGAGGTGATGCTGAGGTAATCTTGAGGTGATGAGGTGATGCTGAGGTGATAAAGGTGATGATGAGGTGATAGAACTGAAGACCTAGAGAGAGAGAGAGATGAGAGAGAGAGAGAGAGAGAGAGAGAGAGAGAGAGAGAGACATTAAAGGGGAAATACAAGAGAATAAAGAGAACATATAAAGCCATAGAGGGTTTAATGTGAGGGAAGGGGAGAGAGAGAGATAGAAACAGAGAGAGAGAGAGAGGAGAGAAGAGAGAGAGAGAGAGAGATGGAGGGTTATCAACGAGGGTAAATCCACTAAACAAGAAAAATTCATAACAATGGTCAGAGGGGAACGAGAACAGGGGATCAGAAGAACAAGAGAGTAACACTACACACAGCAGAACAAGAGAATAACAACACCTGATCAACAAGGTTGTTGTAGTCTTGGTGTGTACATGAGAAGCGCAACATGAAAATTTCAAGTATTTACAGTGGAGACAGGAAGGACTCCAGGAAGTTAGAACAGGGAGGTGCACCAACAAGTGCTGGACACAATACATACAACCGAGGAGGAGGTGAAGCAGCTGTTAAGTGAACTTGACACCTCAAAGGCGGTGGGACCAGTAAACATCTCTCAGTGGGTCCTTAGAGAGGGAGCAGAGACGCTGTGTGTACCACTAACAACAATCTTCAACACATCCATTGAAACTGGGCAACCACATAAGGTATGAAGATGGCAAATGAAGTCCCAATTTTTAAGAAAGGAGACAGACACGAGGCACTAAATTACAGACCAGTGTCACTGACATGTATAGTATGCAAAGCCATGGAGAAGATTATCAGGAGGAGAGTGGTGGAGCACCTGGAGTGGAACAAGTTTATAAACGACAACCAGCATGATTTCAGGGAAGGAAAACCTGTGCCACAAACCTCCTAGAGTTTTATGAAAGGTAATGGAAGCAAGAAACGAGAGGGATGGGTAGATTGCATTTTCTTGGACTGCAGGAAGGCCTTTGACAGTTCCTCACAAGAGATTAGTGCAGAAAACTAGAGGATCAGGCGCATATAACAGGAAGGGCACTGCATTGGATCAGAGAATACCTGACAGGGAGGCAACAAACGAGTCTTGGTACAGGATATGTATCACAGTGGGCACCTGTGACGAGAGGGGTCCCACAGGGGTCAGTCCTAGGACCAGTGCTATCTCTGGTATATGTGAACGACATGACAGAAGGGATAGACTCAGAAGTGTCCTTGTTGGCAGATGATGTGAAGTTAATGAGAAGAATTAAATCAGATGAGGATCAGGCAGGACTACAAAGAGACCTGGACAGACTGGACACTGGTCCAGCAACTGGCTTCTTGAATTTAACCCTGCCAAGTGCAAAGTCATGAAGATCGGGGAAGGGCAAAGAAGACCACAGACGGAGTATAGACTAGGTGGACAAAAACTACAAACCTTGCTCAAGGAGAAAGATCTTGGGGTGACCATAACACCGAGCATGTCTCCGGAGGCACACATCAACCAGATAACTGCTGCAGCAAATGGGCGCCTGGCAAACCTGAGAATAGCGTTCCAATACCTTAGTAAGGAATCGTTCAAAACACTGTACACAGTGTACGTCAGGCCCATACTGGAGTATGCAGCACCTGTTTGTAACCCACACTTGGTCAAATACGTCAAGAAGTTAAAGGAAGTGCAAAGGTTTGCAACAAGACTAGTCCAAGAGCTCAGGGAAATGTCCTACAAAGAAAGGTTAAGGGAAATCGACCTGACGACAGGAGGGTCAGGGGAGACATGATAGCAATATATAAAATACTGCGTGGAATAGACAAGGGGGACAGAGACAGGATGTTCCAGAGATGTGACACAGCAACAAGGGGACACAGCAACAAGGGGTCACGGCAACAAGGGGTCACAGCAACAAGGGGACACAGCAACAAGGGGACACAGCAACAAGGGGACACAGCAACAAGGGGACACAGCAACAAGGGGGACACAGCAACAAGGGGGACACAGCAACAAGGGGGACACAGCAACAAGGGGACACAGCAACAAGGGGACACAGCAACAAGGGGACAAGCAACAAGTGGGACACAACAACAAGGGGACACAGCAACAAGGAGACACAGCAACAAGGGGACAAAACAACAAGGGGACACAGCAACAAGGGGACACGGCAACAAGGGGACACGGCAACAAGGGGACACGGCAACAAGGGGACACGGCAACAAGGGGACACGGCAACAAGGGGACACGGCAACAAGCGGACACGGCAACAAGGGGACACGGCAACAAGGGGACACGGCAACAAGGGGACACGGCAACAAGGGGGACACGGCAACAAGGGGACACGGCAACAAGGGGACACGGCAACAAGGGGACACGGCAACAAGGGGGACACAACAACAAGGGGACACGGCAACAAGGGGACACAACAAGGGGACACAACAACAAGGGGACACAGCAACAAGGGGACACAGCAACAAGGGGACACAGCAACAAGGGGACACAGCAACAAGGGGACACAGCAACAAGGGGACACAGCACCAAGGGGACACAACAACAAGGGGACACAACAACAAGGGGACACAAACAACAAGGGGACACAACAACAAGGGGACACAACAACAAGGGGACACAGCAACAAGGGGACACAGCAACAAGGGGACACAGCAACAAGGGGACACAGCAACAAGGGGACACAGCAACAAGGGGACACAGCAACAAGGGGACACAACAACAAGGGGACACAAACAACAAGGGGACACAACAACAAGGGGACACAACAACAAGGGGACACAGTAACAAGGAGACACAACAACAAGGGGACACAGCAACAAGGGGACACAGCAACAAGGGGACACAGCAACAAGGGGACACAGCAACAAGGGGACACAGCAACAAGGGACACAGCAACAAGGGGACACAGCAACAAGGGGACACAGCAACAAGGGGACACAACAAGGGGACACAACAACAAGGAGACACAGCAACAAGGGGACACAGCAACAAGGGGACACAGCAACAAGGGGACACAGCAACAAGGGGACACAGCAACAAGGGGACACAGCAACAAGGGACACAGCAACAAGGGGAC